AGTACTGGTTTCTTGTTCTTATGTGCTGTATGCTTACTTTTGTCACTAATTGATGCCTCCCATACAGTTTCCCAGTATCTGTTTTACATAGAATACTATTTAAATGATGCCTTATATCTGTTTTTCTAGAAAATGCCAGGTACATAGATGTCATTGTTTAACTAAATTGGCGGCACCTAAAACACATGCTTTAAATAATAAATAGTATTTATTTCTTCAAATGTATTATAACATTTTGCTTACAGTTTGCATATCTTGCACTATAATTAGAATTGATTTGGGTACAAGGATTTATGTTTCTATTGGTTAATAATAAGAACATGTAAAACTTTTCTTAAAAATTGATTTTTTTACTATATAATCCTCAAATCCATATATTGATCGGAAACTAAAATCCTAAAGGAAAACATTGTAAGTTGATACTATCTACTAAAGCAACCAAAAATGGAATCAAGAGATGACATAACAAGACGCTGATGTGGAAGGAGATGTGAGAAACATGACAACTAGACAAATTCAAAGAGGGTTTACAACCAAGTATCTCATCCATAACTTGCTTGTCTCTTGGAAACTACAGCAGTCACATCCATATCTAGTTCCATACATGCAGAGCTTGGTTTCCCAAACCCCCAACCAGCTGAAGGTTATAGGATTTATAGTCCAGCATTTCTGGAGGATCAAGATGAAAGGAGGCTAGGAAAATAATTAAGAGAATGTGAAGTCCAGTTGAAATTACTTTCTGCCTGGACACATACTGTAAAATAACTGAAACAAGCAATCTATACAAAGCAACAGGGATTTTCAATTTTTTTCAGACTGTGGAACTAGTTAGTTAAAAAAGAAATTTCCTAGAATTCCTGATCAAGAGGCAAAGCTCTTGGAATAGAAAGTTGGCTGTGTCTGAGTAAACTTCCCCCCCCTTTGTCTCCCGATGGAACCCCATCAAGTTCTTCTGGAACCCTAAGCTTCCACAGAACAGTCTGAAAAACTCTGATTTACTGGAAAGAGACTTGAATCTGAGCTTTGGAGCCCAAGGTTCACTTGGGGAACCTGGGACAACAGAACCAAAATCTGTGCCACATAGAACATACCATATACGTCAAGGTCAGCTAGAAGAGGGGAAGGATACCAGTGGGATAGTGTCAGAGGTCAAAAAAAAATTCCACTTCCAATATAAGAACAAAAGGCTCTAAATAAACAAAGAGGTGTCCCTGTTTTCTTTAGCGCTGTACCAAATTATCATTGTTGGCTATTTAGACTTCTGGTCCTACCTAGATCACTCCCATTTTTCTTCCCTTAATAATATCACAGTCCTTACTATATAGATCAGTGTTTCTCAACCTTGAAGATGTGTGGACTTCAACTCCCATGCTGGCTGGGGAATTCTGGGCGTTGAAGTCCACACATCTTCAAGTGGCCAAGTTTGAGAAACACTGATATAGATAAACAACAGAGTCTTTTTTAACTCTTGATTATGTACCACATTCATCCTATTAGTACAGTGGACAGACAGAGAAACTGAACCAAATCCATGAACTCCACTGAGCCAAACCCTGGTGGAATTTTTTTTTATTTCATAGCTATAACATGGTGCTCTCCTGATTTCCCCAATAGTGAGCCAGCTCTATTTGGTCAGATTTCCTGAATCACAGTTATTCTTTGAGGAATATGATCATACCAAGAGCGCTACTCTCCTAATGTGCCACAGAATCACTCAACAAGGCAACAAATAAGAGCTATTAAATAAAACCTCTAAGAGTGAGCCGATCAGCTTTGTGTATCAGCTTTGAAAAAGAACAGAGAACTCTCCCCATAAAAGCAGCAATTTCCTTACAAATATTTCTATTTGCTTTAAATCCCATGAGCATTTAGAAGTAATGTTGAAGGAATAAAGATTTAAACATTTACAAAGCAAATGTCTCATGGTCTGAATGTCTGCATTATTTTTTAAAGGAAGGGAGGGAGGCAGACCTAAAGAAAAATGAGAAAGGGAACTGAAGATCAAGCTGCTTGTAAAATAGGTAACAATTCAGCTAAGTCATGGCTCCTTTTTTTCAAAAAGTAAGGACAGTGCAAGAATGAAGGACACACAACTGCTTTAGCCGCTTAACAATTAACAATATCCAGGGGAAAGGAGTGGAGTTGTAAGCAGTTAAATGGGGGGGGGATCCTATCTCCCCTACCCCCATTCACCCTTATCCTACTGCAGAGTCATAAAATACTCAAGTTTATCTTAAACCTTTTGACAGGGTAACACTCAGCAGGAGAAGGGAAGGGGAAGGGGAAGGGGATCCTCTGTGAAACTCAAATGGATCCAGGTTTTCTTGGAGACCTGGTCAAGAAGCTGAAGCCACACTTCAGCTTTGATAATATCCCATTTACAACATTTTTGAAGGGAAGTTGGGTAAGACATTGCAATCCAAGAGGCAATTTTATGGCTTCTTGGATTGCAGCCCAGGACTGGTTTCCACCCATCTTCTTCTAGAGATGCTCAAAACTTTCATGCATCAAAGCAGATGAGTAACATCCTCGTCTCCCAGATTCATGGGCCAGCTGCAATTCCATTATCTTGGCACTTCCACTGCAATGCAGTTCAGTTCAAAGCAAGCAGTCCGTTCCTACTGGAAAGCATGTTTGAGGACAAAATATGTTCAGAAATCTGTGTTGAAAGAAAGTGTTCGAAACAGAGGTTTTTCACAGGGGATTATTTAACAATGTACAGAGTAATGCAGAAATAAGATAGTATGGGTTTACGCATGAGCACATACTCAAATAGCGGGAACAGACTGTCTGCACCTCCTTCCTGCCATTTCAAATATTTCAATCCACATCCTTTAACAGAACTATTAAGTAAGAACTGGTGTCTACCAGGATAGCAGCATGGTCAAAAACAGCACTTAAGACAGTATAACCTCAACTAAATATTTACCAACCCTATAAAATATGTAGAAACACAAGTGGGATACCCTAATTCCACTTATCACATGGAGAGCATATGTTTTCATTCTGTGCTGTTGCCAAGCAAACCATACCATTTTTGAACACTCTAATAGCCACAACGATTTGTGTCTTACTGCCTGTTGGTTTGAAAATTGTGGCAATTATGGGATTAGCATTACCATCTATGGATTAGGAGAAATCACACTCCAAATCAAGCGAAATATTTTGAAGATTTCCTGCTCCATCACAATCCCCTTTACTCTTCCTTTCTCAGCATACAACACAAAGTAAGTAAGAAGTAAGAGCAAGAACTGATTCTATTGCAACTAGAAAGAGAAAGCTCTTTATTGTTGTAGGGTAGTATAACTGAATCTTGAAAACCTGTCAGTTTCTCTCTGCCCCAACCTATACCAAACAAAATCAAGGTGGAGTTATTTTGAGTTTTCCTCATTTTCCTCTTTCTCAGGATTGACTAAATTTTTCTGAAAGCTCTTGCACCCCCAGCCTTAATCATTTGTTCATTCCTTCCCCATTTCCAAGGTCAGGTCTATGTTTCCTCACATATTTATAGCTTATAGCAGAAGGCAGACTTGAGTAGGTATACATTGCTGGAGATGTGGAATAGAACTGGAGCTGGAGTCCAAATTACAACTTAAACTGGGTCTGGAAGAAGGAAGAAAACAACTGCTGTATTACCTAGACAAGATACCTGTCTTGACATTTATATCAAACCAATCAAACATAGAAGTTATATTTGTATTATGTTTCACAGGCTTACCTCTGTTCCCTCTAAAGCAGTGTTTCTCAACCTTGGCCCCTTGAAGATGTGTGGATTTCAACTCCCAGAATTCCCCAGCCAGCTGGCTGGGGAATTCTGGGAGTTGAAGTC